AAAGCATTCTAACTTTGGTCTATTATAAGGAGAGAATCTGCAACAATTTTAATGATTCCCATAGATTCAAAATTACATTATGCTCTAGACTATACTTTGATATAAAACATTTCTATGAGCTTTAACTACATATTTAGAAACACAGCTCTGCTGGAAGGTTAACATCCCCACCAGAGTATAGTCTCTTTGTGTATTTTAGCTATATTTATAATATTTATAACTGTTTCCCCCTACATGGCCTTAAATCATGCATTTAATTCATTTTAAAATGCCATCCTTTAACAATACCACCAATAGCTCTCCTGTCAATGGATTCTCACTCCCAAGCTCTGCAGCCCCTCCAGAAATGTAAGGATCTCTTACCTATTCTGATAAATGTTCTCATTGGCTAACATGCCATTTTAGGTGGAAAACCCTGTCTTGTCCTTTTTTGTATGTTCAAATGATGGAGTGAAAAGTGCTCTGCAAGTTTTACAAACTTTGGCTATTGTTTTATAATCTTACACTGCTTCAAACTTCACAGTGTTATTGTTGATCTATGTTCACTAGATTCATATTTTTAATTAATATTAACAAAAATGCTCTTTGAAAGTGAAGCTGTATTTATACTAACATTAATATGCACTAATCTAATTAATGACCTATTAGATCATTTCTAAACCAAGCCAGTTTTTATTTTTATTTTAGTGGTATCAGAATAAAGGGGCATGCACTTAAATGAAACCTTTTTAATTCAAATACAAAAACTTGAGGTTGGATTTATCTTCCACTCGACAATCATGCACTGCTTTGTGTAGGTCATTTAATTCTAGCAAATTACAAAACCCATTAAAACATGTTGAACCGTGAAGAAGGTTACACAATTTGAAGCAGTTCAAAGGGTATGAAGGCTTTTACAACATGCTGTAAATCTTACCTCAAATAGTTTTAAAATTAAGGGTTTGTTACTTTATGTAAAGGTGTTAAGGTTGAATCATCCACGACAGAGTCTCCCGCATTTGTTTACAAGCATAAAACCAGACATTAGTGTAAAGTCACTGCTGCACAGATTCATGATTCATGACACACCTAAGCACACATCATTCATCATTTCTCTTTTCATCAGCTAGACCGGTTAACGACAATTAAGAAGCACTTTAAGATAACAATCTGCCATATGCTCATAATAACATAAAAGAATGACACACCATAGGTAAACATAACACAGGAAACATCAAACACAGCTGCAAGACCTGGAAATGCTAGGAGATGATGAAAGAAAGTGGAGTTGTCCTGGTGGAGTTCACAGCATTTTTTAGGTCAACTGTAGACACACAAAGAGGCATGGATATGTTTCTATGGCTTGATCAGGTTCCATATATAAACTTTTCAACATATAGAGAGAAAAAACAACCTTAAACAGAGGGGGCAGACTCAGGTTCAAGCTCTCAAAAACCTACAACGCAGCGATAGAGATGATTCCTTCCCAATTTTATCTCAACCCCCGTCGCTATGCAGGGGAACAAAACATCTTGCCTGGTCAGCCAGACCAACAATGCCCCTAACGACCCCCCTTCCAGAGGCATAGGCCAGAATTTCGTAATGCAGGCTAAAAAAGAACCCAAACAACCCCCATTGCCCCCATGGTTGGACCCGTTCATCTGCTTCAATTGGCACGTTTTCTAAGCCAAAGCAAGGTTTTGGGCTACTATATAAAGCTTTGAACTCAATGCTAATTCTGGCATATTGAATAGAAAAACATCCTGGATGGCAAGCGAAAAGTCTTCAAACTTGAAAACAAATTCCAATGGATTGTTTATTAACCTTTTTTGGAATAACTATGACCAAGATGACTGAGAATCTTCACCGGCACACATAGACTTGAATTGTTTTTTCTTTACCCACCAACACCCTAACCCAACCGAAGATTCCATCAGTTAATGGGCAGAAGTTGTATTCTTTAGATTTCAGGAGGAGAATGGAGAACAAACCAGACGAAATAATAGGTCATTCAGACTCTCCACATACAACAAACCCATCTTAGACTTTAATAATCATAATCAGATATCTACTGTCACCCCCTCGTTAACCCCCCTCGTTCACACAGACTATTCATTCATGCACCCTGCTTTCTCTCACTAATGGAAGCCTTTCTAGTCAGTGTGTTAATTCCTACAAACTTTATTGTGATGCAGCCTGACTTGCAGCTCCCCTCCATGGTCTGTCAGATATACAGATCAAATCTATTTGTGAAACATGATGAGCAAAATGCGTCAATTTCTAAAAACCAAATGAGCCAGACAGGATTTCAGACACAAGGAGACTGAAGCAGATCCTATAGATTTTAAAATAAGAGGCGACGCACAGACGGGTCCTATACACATTGAATTAGAACTGCTGCACGGCAACATGAGACAACAACCCTATCCACTGAATCCACTGTGCTGTAAATGATCTTATTCTGTCTGCTGTCTCGTTCTTTCAGTTTTATCGTCGAGTTTGCTGCAATGTTGTAATCTTCTAAATGGCATACAGTCCTCTATAATACTGGGTTTACATGTCTGCTTCCCCAAATACCTGCTTTTGTGCTCTTTTCTGTAATTTCATGGGCTCTTTGTATTGTTTTGGGAGATTTTTGTGGGCCTTTTTTTTCTTCCTGCATTTTTTTCATGTGTTGTTATATTTTGCAGTTCAAAGCCACCACCGGGTTCAGTCTCCAGGACACTGTTTTGGTCAGCCATGAAGACTGCCAGGCAAACTAAAGTCTAACCCTCGCAGTTAGATGAACAATGGGAGCCTTGTTAAGATTCTCGAGAAAATCCGTCATGCCCTGACACTCACTCCAGAGCTGCACATCCTCAGCCAGGGAGAGGAAAAAAAACAAAGACACTCATGAGCAAGCAATGGACCATGAAGTATGATACGCTTGTACAAAAAGATCCAGCCCTTATTTGGTAATCACTGAGCATTATAACATGAACAATATTTCAAAGAAACAAAGCATTTTTTTTTTGTCTCTCTACATGTGAAACCCAAGCAACATTATGAGCCTGACACACATTTTTGACTGCAATGAAAATGCAACGGGGGAGTCAGCAGCTGAACTGGGCAGAAGGCCTGGGGTCATTTGCTAGTGGAAAGGAATTTGGCTTTTCAACATGTCCGCTGTTTCATACGCAGATCATCACTGAGAACAATCTGCAGCATTCTTCTAAACTTTGCAGCCATCCCAACAAGTTAGATTAAGTGTCTCCGTTACTGATTACAGCGTCCTAATCAACAAAGTAGTGTGCTAAAACATGATGATGTTTGGATTGGAAAGCTGATTGCTAAAAAATGTAATTATTAGGCTATAACTCTGTGCATCAGTCATTAATCTTACTCTAACGACTGAGTGTTGACATACTGAACCCACAGTGGGAGGTTTTTACCAAGAATATCTAAAGGAGGAAGAGAAAGCAGGTTTCTCCACCAGCCTTATTATGATTAGGCACCAGCGTAAGAGTGCAAATTTAATCAGCCCTCCTAAAATACAACTTAAAGTCTGATTTTTTTTCCTCTTACATCACCATCATTTCTATTTTTAGCTCACATGATTGAGGGTTTTTAAATGTAAAGCATGTGTTAGTAGCCTTTCTTCATGGTAGATAAGTCTCCTAATTTGCACTGAGTGGGGCATATCTCACATAAGTTATAGTATAAGTTTTTTTTTTTTTTTCTTAAGCAGTATATATGTTAAATTATGGTCAACTGGTCCTCCAAACAATCTCAGTTTAGAGAAACAAGGTTAAAGTCCAACTGCGAAGGGAAACTAAAGAGGCAGATTTTAAAAGATTTCTGTCATTCAATATTAGTTGCTTCTAGAACAATTTTTAAGATACTGTGGCATCTTTAGGCTGTATTTGGAGTAAAATAATCAGTGAGAAAATATGGAAGTAAGAATGGAAACAACATTTACTCAGTCTAACCCAGTCTTACAGACTGAAAAAAGTTTACTGAAAAAAAGTATTACAGTGTGACCAATCAGACCATTACTGGAGGCTGAAGGACCCAAAAGCTGTGATGATAAGTAGTTTAACAATTACAAAATACACCAATTTATTGTAGCGATACAAGGAAAACAGAGCATAGAACCGTGGTGAGCCCAACATAAGAAACCAGCAAAGAACAATGAGAGGCAAGTACCTAAATTCTGAGAAGGTGTCTCAGAATTGAAGCATTTTAGCAGAGTTAATTGATAAATCAAACTCTTACCAAATCTGGTTAGGAACACCTGCAAACATCTCTCCCTTTTTTTTTGTTTTTTTTTTCCAAAAAGGAAATGAAGGATCTACGGATACATCCACTGATGGAGCAATGTTTGTTCTGATTCAGCTTGCAGCCACTGGTTAACGTCATACTCGTCACTGCACTCATTGGTTCCTAACATTTCTAGGCTAATGCATCTGCCGCATTTTCAGTAGTTTGTGAATTCCCAAATCTTGCAACAATTCATCTTGCTAAGAGGATAAGAAAATAGCAACTAACTAGAGAAAAAAAATACCAAAATACGTCTAAATACAAAGACAAAAGTTTACCCAAACCCAAACATTGTTAGATCAGGCTCATGACGGGAAAATAAAGGAGCACAGCACTGCCCCTCCCCAACACGTTGCCACATACTGCCTGATGCTCCCTCTTTTTGTCTAATTGACTCATAAAGAAGAGTCAGCTGTTTAGAAACTGATTGACTTAAACAAAGTAAGGGCTACCCGTTATACCAGAAGAGTTGGCAAACTAAGAGCAGTATGTCAGCTGATAGGTTAAACACAAGTCAGTAGTGACCAAACTAGCTAATTAGCTTCAATTAGTTTATTAGATTCCCAGTTATTAGACAAAAAATGGCTGCAAAGCAATGTAATTTTCAATACAAGTTTACATAAAAGTTGCAACTCTATTTAATATTATTTTAATTCAACAAGTTTAGCTGCATAACAAACATTTTCTTTCCTCTTATTCTATCCCAAATGGGCTACACTTACCTACTATGTCTTCATAGGCATTCTCCTCTAAAGTGCTTTTAGAACTGGGTCGACTCTTGGGGTCTGTGGTCAGCGCGCCGTTCTCTGTGGGGGAGGAAGGATATGAGGATGGGAGGCTGGCAGCATCCTCCGACTCACAAGACTCTCTAAGTAGAAGACAAGCAGAAACAAACAGAAATCCATAAACAAAAGCTACAAGTAAGTCAGTGTTTTATAATTTGTGAAGCAAACATAAATTATACAAGGATGAAACCCACAAATCTGGACGTGAAAAACAAAAAGAGTCTAGATCTGTTTTTATAGCTCCGTGCACAAAAAATTAAAACTAATCACAAAATGATAAAATCTACCATCAATGTGTGATTCAAACACAAGCAAAGTTCCAAATAAGATATCTTAATATCTCTGAGGGCTCTCTGTATGCCGTAAAGGACACACAGCGTGTCAGTCACTGCAGAGAATCTTAGCTGGACTGTGTGTCTAAGAGAATCTACTGTATCCTCACAATAAAATGTCAACAGCATGTGGTTTCTGCTCTGAAACAGCTTCAACCACAGGAATGTAAAAAAAAAAAAAGAATCCATGGGATGAAAGTTTGAGAATTTCACATTGGAACGATCTGGTGAGGCAACACCCTTGCTCAAGTGGTGAGAGTGAAATAAGAAGAGAGGCAAAGGTCAACTGCTGGATTGGACTGCAGCTGGTAAATATGAGAAAGCATGCCTGTATTTAACAGTTTTGAGAAACTTCCAAAAAGATTTTATAGGCCATCAAAACACTCTTGAATTTGTCAAACATTTTAAATGTTCTTTAGACCAAAGCAAATCTGTTCAGCATGGGGTGTTTCCATGAGATGCACTTAAGAACCACAAAGATTTAACGGAAAAAAGGCAAGGATGAAACCTGAGTGATTAAAGAAGCATACGCAGGCACATGACAAAGTCTCACCTGTCCTGGATTCTAACTGGCTTGCTCCCCTCACACTTCAGGATCCGTGTGGTGCTGGGTGCAGGAGTGGAAGGCAGGGGTGGGGGGGACTCCAAGGCTCTGTCTGGAGGTAATCCGTTGGTTGACGAAACGTCCTTCTGGTCCCGTTTGGCCTCATATTCAAAAGTGCGTTTGGGTTTAGGTAAGGGGTTCACTGGTGTGACCGCAGAGGTCTGTGGACTCTGTGGTTCCGGGCTCTCAGACCTGGTCGAGCTCACACTGAACCTTTGTCTGAGCCGGGAGAGTTTATCAGGGGCCAAATTTGCATCTGGCTCTGTGGCCACAGAGCAGATGCTGCTGCGCTTACTGGCGCACGTACTGTCCAAGTCATCGCCTATTACAAAGGACTTCTGTCTTGTCTTGTCTGGAGCATAGCAGTTACTGAGATACCGTGGAGGAGGAGGACTGGGATTCTCCTTCAGGGCTTGCTCTATCTTTTGTATCCTGTTGAGGACTGCTGATGTCTCTTTGCGAGCAGACAGAGTACGCACAAACCCTCCAGAAGTTTCTGTCTTGCCTTTCCTTTTTTGGAAACGGCCCAAACCATCTTTGTCTGAAACTCCGTCCTCGTCCCCTGTCTCCGCATAGGAGCATTCAGAGAAAGCTGTACTCATCCTGCGGACTCCCTTAAAGTCAAAGGTCTTCTCACTGCAAGGAGAAGACAGCAGACTTGGGCAGCCCTCGCTTCCCCCAACAAGCTCCCCTCCTCGTTTATCCAGACACAGGCTCATCCTAGGCAGAGACATCCTCCTGCACTCCCATTCTGAGATTTTTTTGCGGATTGTGGTGGGGGGGACACCTACTCCAGAGTGGGTGAGAGAAAGGGTGCGTTTGTGGCCTTGGCTTGAAGAACGTCCCAAAGAGTAAGTGCTCCAGCTCAGAGGCCTACCATTGAGTCCTTCACCTGCTGAGACGTCTCCTTGACTATCCTTATGCTCCTGCACTCCTTGATTCTCTTCACAGAACTTGGTTTGTGGCGGGGGCTTGTAGATAGAGAGTCTGTTGTCCAGGCAACTGATGCTCTTAGATTTGGAGAGTCGGCCTTGGGGGTTGGTGTCACTTGTAAGGGAGGCGCCGGGACAAAGACTAGCTGTCTTGTTGGTCCATCCAGCTCGCAGCAGGAACCTGCCGTCGGTCCTGACGTACTTAGTCTGTTTGCTCTCACCGTCACTAAGAACGGGCTGCAGGTTCTGCCCCTGGCTGGCAGAAAGCACTGGAAACGGGGATGCAGACTGGCTCCTGAAACAGGACAGAGAAATCTGTGGGCATTTACAGAAACTAAATGCTAGTTTGAAATGAAAGCACTTATAAAAATAAAGAAACACAAAACAGTTTGTTTTAAACAAGGAAATAAAAAAAAAAAATTTAAAAAGAGGTAATGTTAATTCAACATTTAACAAGTTAAAACGATTTCGCAGGCAAAACATTTCCACAGAATAAACACACGTGGGCAAACATTGTGAGTTTCAGTCGTTTTCTCATGTGTCTCATATGTTCAGAATATTTATCTTAGATAGTCATGTTTGCTACTGTTTAATTATTTAATAGAAGGGAAGTTAACACAAACGATTTTGTGTCACAGTCCAAGTGGTCTAAAATCATAAAGGCAGAGCATAATAAGTAAACCTGTGCATCTGTACATCTATTACAGACAGATTTTAGTAAACCAAAAGAAGCAACCTGTAGGAACTGAAAACCTGTCTATTCATCCATTTATCGAGAAACTGACCCTGAAAAAGAGGGAAAAACTTTTCCAGGATCAAAGCTGGAATAAAATTCTGGGGCCAGGTATTGAGAAAACCACAGGAAAGTATTTGGTCTTTGGCAGCATAACATTCAAATAAAAGCCAAAGGAAATACACACTTCATTTAACTCCGGTTGTGGATTTTTCCAGATAATTGAAAAATTACTTGAGAAGATTCACAGCAGACCTCACACAGAAGCCATGAAACACATGGAAGATTTATGGCAGCGTTCTTACCTGCAAAGCCAGACTGCTCCTCTTAGGTTCTCACAGCCTTTTCTGATCCCTGCAGCTAAGTGATAGTAAACTTTACCGCCTTCTCACAAATGTTCCCATGCAGCCCACCTCCTTCGGGAAGACATGTATCCACGTAGTTACAGGACACGCTAACACTCATAGCGTTAGAGAAACCCTGTGATTATCTAGAAGCTGACTAACCGTTGTGAAAGTGAAGCACCAGGAGATCTGATGTCACTGTCTAGGCTAGAATAACGACTCTTGGGAGGAGGAAGCTGAGGGCTGTGGACTGTGATCTAACAGTGCAGGTTGGGACAGATCTGCCTTCACACCTATCTGCCCTTCCCTGATTTCACTCTCTCTGCTTTAGGGTGGAAAGAAACTTTCAGCAGCTCTGTGCCTACAAGCTTTGAGGATGATGTATGAAACTTATCTTACAACTTTTCCAGGAAGCATGAGAATCATTGTCTAGTGATTTGCACACCTGGTTGCTATGAAAAATTAACTCATCATCCACAGTACCAGGTATATCATGAAACCATGCTTAGGTGAAGTTTTCATTAATCTGATTTCTAAGTTGAACTTCTACCAGTCACTATTACTTAATACCCATCTGGCATTACATTGGGATTCTACAATATTATAATGTATAATAGGGCTGAAACAATCGTGATTAATCAATTATTGAAATAATCATCAACCAATTTAGCAATTGATTCATCATTAACTGAGTGTAGAGACTCTAAAAACAGCCTTTAGCTGATAGAGCAGTAATTATACCAAAATTGCAAAAACAAATATATAAACATTTTGTATTTACGATAAAGAAAACTTTTGTCTGTCAAGATTCTCTATCCAGAAGTTGTCTAATGGAAACGTTTTATTTTCACATGGTTTAAATTCCAGAAAGAAATCTTTTTAAGGTACATTTTCTTACCTGATATATAATTGATTATTTAAAAAAATCATGTTTACAGATTAGACAGTTAGTGAAACGTTCATTAGTTGCAGCCCAAATGTATGTTTAGTGTGGACTCTACATCACACCTGTTGATGAATATTTGCAGAAATCCTTCTGTTTTCTTACCTCTAAATTCTATTAGTTCACAAGTTTATCACATTGTAAACAGTTTATTTAATAATCTTCAACAACCTAATACTTCCGTCTTAATACTTTTCTTCCAAGAACCCAGACCTTTTAGCAGTCCTCTGAAATGGCCACTTTGATCAGCAATTTAGGCTTTATAATAGTTTTATTTGGACTTTGTATGCTTTATAACTAATTTCTGGTTGCATCTTTATATCTAAGTGCCTTAATGTCAACATATGTTGTAAAATACTTTGTTTTTTCAAGAAATATGAAATAATTCATAATAAGTGTATAACCGAAGTTTATTGATCTCACATTGGAGAAATTTACCACTGCATTTAACCCAACCCTTTGGCTGCCATCATGGGGTGCAGTGTGGGGTTAAGGGTCTTGTTCAGAGACCTAGAGAGGTAGTCTGTGCGAATGGGGCTCGAACTCAGAACCTCAGGATCCCAAGCTCTATGCCCTAACCACTAGGCCGCCACTCCCCCAAATTCAATGGAGAACGTATTCAGGACGGAAAGGAAGGAAAAATACAATCAAGTCAATCTTTGAGACTTTACTGAGTCTACAGCACTTTGGAAATCCGCCTTTTTGGTACTGAAATCAAGTTTTATGTGATTGTTTATAACTGTTTTGGTATTTTTTTGCATCTGTTTATTTCAAGAAATGGGAACCATTACTTGCACATTATATGTGCAAATCCATCGGCCAGAGATGGAAATCTGTCAGGTTTCCCTTTTTGCCTTCAGAAATAAATGCATCTGAACAAAGAAGTACAACCGTTTTTTGTTTCCTAACAGAACCAACAGCATCTACTTTGATGGGATTTGTTTTGTCTTTAAAAGACAATTTTGTAAATCAATTTAATTTCCAAATTTTACATGGGGAAAAAAATCTAGGTAAAAAAAAAAAGTTTACATTTTAAATCTGTTAGCCTGGGTAAAATAAAAAAAACATTGTTTGAACACTCTTCACTAACCCTAAAGTAATGGTCAGGGGAAATGAGCAACATTATAAGATGACAGTAAGGTTTGTCTACTTTAAAGGTATTTTACAGTAGATTTATACATTTTCAACAATACTCCACTTACACTAGTTTCTACAGGAGAAACCTCCTAAAAAAATAAATCCACAAAAGACCTACTGACAGATTTTCACTTGATTTCTTTTCAAACATTTATTTATTCAGTAATAACATGGCTCCGTTAAGTGAGACTCACATCATGCTGTAAAACAAAATGTGAGCTGCCAATGAAGACCACACAATTAGTCTCATTTTTAAAGAAATGTGCTGATATTTCTCCTTTTTTTCCATATACTCTTTCAGGTTCCTTGTGATGCGGATCAACCCAATAATCCCGGTTCTTGTCAGTTTCAGCTGGGCTGGCCACACGTACAGTTCTGTACGAGGAGCTGAACATCAGTCACAGCCTTGCCCCAGGCCTTAACTTAGGCTTCCAGGGTATGCTAAACCACAAGCCACATCCCATTGCTAACCAGAACACAGAGAGAGGCCTGCTCACACAGCTAAGACTGCTACTGCTGGAGTTTAGTTTGCACCAGCTGCTGGTCCCTTCTTCATCTCTTTACTACTGCCACTCAGCTACTTGTTTAATCAGTAAGAGGACTTCTTACAGCTTTCCTAGATCAACAAGTTGTTTGGTTCTAAAAACATTTTCCCTAATTACTTTTAAAGTTAGCTAAAACACTTTACTTTAACTACACCATCAGAACACCATCCTGCACTGGTTATATGTTTTAAAAGCTGAAGATCACAGAGAACCAAAAAAACTGATGAAGTCTCTGAATGTTTTTTTATGAAATAAGTTATAAAAAGTAGCCACAAAGTTAATCCTTGTTCCTGCTAGAAAAAAAAAAGATATTTAATCTTATTGCAATCAACCAGAATAACTTAAGGTTCCATACAGACGTACAAATTAGGTCTATCAGGAGTTTGATTGGTTATAATGGTTTTATCAGGGGTAATAATCTCATATTTTATAAGAATCACCTCGCCTCGGTTTTTTTTACCATGCATGTTTTAACCTGTTAGGCCCCAAAGGTTCTCCTGAACCTTTGACCCAATGTGGACATTACCTGTGCAAAGATTCATCAAACTAAACCAAAGTTATACAGGTCTTGGTAAGCTCATCCTTATGCATTTGCCTTTTGGCAAATGTTGGAACCATCTACTAAGATAGAAGCAAATTTATGGTTTTACTTGCAAAGCATAATAAATTCTATTTCAAGGTCTACAATGTCTGGTTACTGAACATTGTTTTTTTAATAAATAACTGCATTTGGGTTTTTTTTCAGTTTTGATAAAACAAAAAGAAAACACTATGTTGTAAAAACAACTTGAGTGTTTTTACTGAATATCAAGAGCAGAGAAACTTAACAGTTTATAGAAATCCAATAAAAAAACACACGACTGCTTCAGGCTACCACCAGCTTTGTGCAGGGGTGTGATATACGTCTGGATTGTTCTAAGTTTTTAAACAGAGCCACGTTTTCATCTTTAGAGGACGTAGATTAAAATTATATCCAACACATCTGCATCAGAAATATTATGGAAAGAGGAAGGCATTTTAAGCCATCTGACAGAATTTCACATTTGGTCAATCAACCACATGTAGGAATAAAAAAAAATAATAAAAAACTTTTAAAGCATCCTTTAAAGCATCCTGGCTGTATTTTGGTGGATTTAGGATTTTAAAAAGAAAAACGCAGAGCTATGAATGTTTTTACATTCAGTTTTTTATTCAGCAGTGATTTTTTTTAATCTTTTGTGCAAGTTGGGTGAATGCTGGGTAGAGCGAAAAAAGGGGGATATCTGTGGAATCTGAGATCAGATAAGTTGCTTATTTGAGTCAAAGCCACCTGCTGAAAATCTGAGAGTTAGTTTTGCAATGAAAGCACTTTGAGGACTTTGTTTACCATCTGATTTAACTCCTGGTAATTTTAACTGTGTTTGAACATATGTTTTATAACAGCTTTTAGCAACGATTCTAATGTTTCTGTGGATAACAGATATGCCTAAGTTAAAAATAAAAAGATAATAGTAATGAACCACAGAAACAAAGTAAAACTCCTCCCACTGTATCAGCTTTGGGGGTTAGGAAGTAAAAATACTTAAACACCAGGAGAAATAAGCTGACATGAAAACATTCGACATATAAGCTTACAGGTAAAAATTAGGATAGGTTAACTGCATGTTGCAAGTGCTTTTAATCACAACAATCCAATTTGAGATCAGACTGGATCAGATCGGAGAAGAATCAATTCTATTAATCTTGAGAATCTGTATCAGATGGATTCTTAAAATTTGAATCCATATCGATAACAAACTGTAGAAGAAATCTACAGAGTGAGAGTTCATCATCCCCGATCCTGAAGGGCTGCTTTGACATCAGATTCAAAAGCTACTGTTACCACTTCAGTGCCATTAAGCACTGCAGAACACTGTAAACCAGAGTCAGAAGCGTGACAAAAGGAAAACCTCTAAAATATGCTGGACAGTGAGCCTTGAGGACCTGGGTTAAGAAACTCTGGACTAGGGCAAAAAATATAATTTTATGTACATACTGCACCATATTCTAATTGTCAGGGTGATAGTCACACAAATTGGGAATAAGATAAGGTCATACATAGCTAAAGACCCCAAAAACAAATACCGATCAAAAACGTTTTAACAGATAGTCTGGTTCATAGGAGAAAATGCATAAAGAAATAAAGGCTAGTTTAAAAACATTCTCCCTTTGTTTGCCATTTTAACCAAATCAAACCCACATATACAGACATTACAGAAACCGGTTACTTAAGGTTTGCTGGTACAGATGTTCACCACCACTGGATGAAACTGAACCGAAATCCTCACAGCAGGTTTCATTTCAGTTAACCAACAGCAACATCATTACAAGCAACCTTCCAGATCAAAATAACTCCACAGACCACAGAAAAGCTATCTTACCAACTCACTGCAGACTCTCTGGGCTGCTTTAAATGAATCACCTCTTAATAATTGCCCTGACAGCAGGACACTGTAAGCTGTCAACATGCCAACACAAGCTCAGCACTCACAGTTTAGGGTTGGATATGGCCCTTGTCCACAAAACAGGATCACACTTGCAGAGGCTTTGATTGACAAGCTTTGATTATTTTTCCCAGGAGTTGAAAAAAAGTATTAAAACAAAGAAAATCCGCCAGATAAATCTTTGATGGAAAGACGTGTTTGAAAATGAATCAGCTGGCAGGCAGAGAGAGGTGACTGGAAGTGCATGCTGATTAAGCCAAACTCCCTGATGTCACTGACCTGTCGGGGACGTCCCGTACGGCTTTACCCGCTCCTGCTCGGGGTACAGCCTTGGGGTTCTTGTTGGCAGTCATGTTTGTCTGCAAACCGTCCGCTCACCTGTCGTGCAAACAGAACAACACAGGGTCGTTTTTCAGTTGAAACCTTTTAGTTCTTCAAAACATTTATTAAAGAGTACATTCAATGGCTAAAATGTAAAGCAACATGCTCTGATAGATCGATAAACACCGACTTTAATCCCTTTCCCTATCAAAAAACAAGAAGATCAAGATTCCTCTGAATCACAGCCAAGGCTAAGGACCAAACAGAGCTTCAGCTGTTTGAACAGGCAAACACATTATCCCTTCCCTGAACGCGCACAACTCAGATTTCTGTGATAGTCAGAGATGACTGACAACTAGCATTTAACACAACAAAAAACATGTAACACAACAGATTACAAGATATTTTCCATACCAACTAAAACGATTCACAAGCTTTTCAGTGAAATCTAGAATATATAGATGTTAATAGAGATACTAACTTATTAATAAGCAAAAACATTTCTATTAAAATCATTTTAAATATTACATCATGTTGAACTGCTGCCATCATGGCCTTTTTTTAACTCTTTGGCTACAGCTGTTGATTATTTTAGAAACTGATTATTATTATTTTTTCAATAGGTCTGAAATGGCAACTAAAAATTACATATTTTAACAGAATAGTAAATGGAAAAACATGAACAAAATATGCATACATATAATTATACATATCATTATTATATATATATATATATATATATATATATATATATATATACACATGTAAACACACAAATATATTATTTTAATCTTGAAACTAACAATTCTATATTTTTTTTTGTAAGTAGGTTATTTTTCCAGTAAATGTGTACCATTGCTCAAGGTAAGGATTCGATTGACAAATCAATTGGTATTTCAATTAAGAATGCAACTAACGATTATTATGATAATCAATTAATCTGTCGATTATTTTTCCAATTAATCAATTAATAATCACATGAGGAAAGTTTCCTTAAAGAAGACTGTATACAGAATTAAAACAGTGAAACCAAAACTTTTTAA